ATTATCACGATCACGTTGGTAAAGTTGGAAACAGATCTGAAAATATATTACTACGTAGGTCGCTATTAATTGAGATACTGTATTCTCTGTTATATATTATTCGAATAAAATTACAATATCCCAAACCATCTGTATAAATGTTACTATTATCTTAACAATCGAAAAGATAAAACAAATGTTCGTTAATAAAACGGGCGAAGAATACCACGGGGGACTTTCTCCTTTACCGAACGTAATCTACTTCGTGATAAAGTAATTTCCGTTTTATCGAACTCGTTGTGTCAGCATTGTAAGACAGGCGACTATCTTTCTACTAGTTGACCATTACGTCACGCGGTAACAATATTACGAGAGAAAGAAAACGGTGGTCGATAGATAATAGCGGTAGCGGTGAACGTCGTTAAATGCGCGCGTGGAGAGGCAGCGGAAGCGCACAAAGCTAGAGACGAAGATTTTTCCACTGTCGCGGTATACGCGACGACACCTGGAAACACGTGGAAAAGCCGGGCTAGTGTACTTTTATGGGACGCCGTTAAAAGCGAACGGGAACAAGCCAACAATAGGGCTTATCGTAGTGGCCCGTGAGCGGTCTAATCTCGTTCTGCCAATCGCGCGTCGACTCGAGAGGGCTGCAGCACCACGATAAACAGAGTGGAACGCAAATCGCCAGCCTCGTTAGCATAACTCTACGTTCGTCCTCTCGGATTCTTGAGTAGTTTCCGCGCTCGCCACGCGTATTATTTCGATTCCTGTTGCCTGTCCAAGACTGATTTCTTACCAGCTCGACTGTAACCGTCTTGCCGTGCGCTCGTACTAAACCTTTTTTTGGAACGACAAGCGTTAAGAATGCTCGATCCTTCAGCTCTCGATGCAGCACCACGCTTATCTTAAACATGCGTCGAGCTTTGTCCGTGATTAACGTTGGATGTTGTTTATCGAGGTCAGAAAAGAACGGTCGTTCTCCATTTTTCTTTTTTTTTCTTTAAGTATGTACCTACTTAGCAATTATAGTTTTGTATTCTTTGGGATCACGCTGGAATCGAACAAAAACCAAATATTTCTGAAGAAATCAGAAATTATGTTTTTAGATGTTAATAGGTAGAAACTATGTATTTCAGGCATCGTTTGAAACTACGCGATACATTTAAGAGAAGTACACAGATATTTAAATCTTCTCTTAGAAATCATATATCTGTTGGAATCAACGCCTTAAAAACTGATATAACGAAAGCTGATATGATAAAAGAAATTTGTATTCCGCTCTTATTAAACGTCTCATCGCTCGAGTCAAATTATACCGACCGTGATTCCGTCCGCGAAAAATCTCATCGAAACGTCTGCCGTTTTCAAAATATTAAGCTTTAACACGATCGTACAGATACGCGTATAATATTACGGTACGCGTAATAATCCTTTATTAACCCCTACGTTGTAAAAAGGACAAAGCGACCACCGATAGTAATTGAAACAGGACACCATAATACGTTCGCATCCTTGTCCTTAATAAAGCTAAGCACGAAAAATCAGATTACATATCATCTATTCGATCGCGGTGCCTGTATTCAAACGAGCAAAGGCGACGAGCTAAACTGCCAAAGGGCAAATACGTGTCGTCTCTCGCTCATCTCGTCTCGTCTCCTCGTGTCTGGTCTCTCGTCTCGCAGGTCCATTTTCTGCCCGCCTGCTGCTCCAACATCTTGCAGACTGGTAATGTAACTCCATACGCGATATCGTCGTCACGGCTAATCGACACTTTGTAGGATAATGTCGGCTTGGTACACGCATTTGCGGCATTCTTACACGGTATTTCAACGATAACTATCGCTCGATTCGCCTCTTCTCATTACGCGCCGCGATTTCTCCTATCCGTAGCTCTTTGGATCCGCGCGAAATGCCCCCGTTGCCCATCGACCTTTTCATCGTTATCCTCTTGCTCAACTTATCTCTGGTTAAGCAACGCGTGCTGTTGCTGCTGCATGCGCGAAATTGGACGACATCGTAAAGGCTTTCCGGCGAAATGTGCTTTCGAATTGGCTACGCTAACAACGTGGTGTAACGTGTACAGTGTATACATACACGCTTCGATGCGAATATTCAAATTGGTACACGGTAGAAGCTTCGGGCATGGAAGAACTACCATCAGAATGGCTTACTTTCTGAAGGTTCTGCTATTCAAACTTTTCTATTGTTTCAACATGAATGGATTAGGAAGTTATTGAATAGTCGAAACGAAGCTATGGAAAGAAAGTTCGCCTCGAGAATTTCCACTTTTGATTCAGAAAATTAAACATCTAACGGAATGACACAGAACGTTGAGTGTAAAAGATTGTTATTGCAGTGTATGATATCGTGGAGGAAATTTTTCGTACTTAACGAACACGAAGAAATTAACGAGCATGATACCAAATATGTAGAACGCAATGAAAATTATTGTTATATTACACAGACTCATGTGTAGATAGAAAGTACGATGTTTTATGTACTACATATGTAGAATTATATTAAGAACAATATTTTTGATTCTCGTATCGGAAACTGGGATCGAATGAAGATAAAAATGTGCATTCTTATTTCGTGTTAATAATAAGTATTTAATGACATTTAAAAAAATATGAAAGGTCTTGTAATAGAAATAAATGCGAAACTCGAAAATAAAGCATTATATTTATATTTTCATTTATAGTGATACGTTCTTTTATCGCGTGATTTTAAGACGAGAAGAGCGGTCGTTGTGCAATTTTATAGGTAGAAAACTTCGATCTTTTAGACCTTCATCTAGTAATCATTTTGTAATCGATTATTCATGGAAACGTTCACAGGAATCTATCTATTTAAAAGTCATTAACGTGTCAGCTGTCAAGTAATTAACGTCTGGTGCGTCAAGAATCCAATCGAGTAATGTCAAATACTGCTTCGAGTAACGTTGTCAGCCAATCTGAATTTTTGAATTTTTGAACATTTGAATTTTTGAATTTTTGAATTTTTGAAAATTTGAATTTTTGAATTTTTAAAAATTTGAATTTTTGAAAATTTGTACTTGTTTATCTATTTGTGTTAATTTGGTAAACTTTGAGATGCAATACATAACTGTTTTAAGATTTAATATAATTTATTCTGCGCACAAAGAAAATTCTATTTGCAATATGCAAGGGAAGTAGAAAATATAGCACAATCGAATTTATTATCTATTTTATGTCTTATCGATTTATATCACAAGTTAAAGACTAGCACAGACAAGTTACAGTCTTGCAAACATATTTGTAATTTAAATAATAAAACGCAGTTGACAATTGTACAATTGCGCAGAATTCAACCTACGTTTACTTCTTAAATGTTACAATCGTCAGCAAGACTGATATATTTGGAGAACAGATATTTCGGAAAAAATTTCTTAATCTAACTAAAGAAAACTTACACCTATTCTACGTATCTCAAAATAACAAATACGCGTCTTTTTCAGGTGGAAACTATATTATAGTAACCGATAGATACTACCTATTGGCCAAGTAATACGTTTCTAAATGGTAACAATTCGTAAATTCGTCGACATCGTCCGAGATACTAAAACCTCGTCGCAGATACTAAAAAAAAAATACCAATCGATCTTTATCAGGAAACGCGCGATGCCCCGAAACGAAGCACGACAGCGAAAGGGAAAGCAGAACACGGAGAAAAAGCGGAAGAGTTCAGAGAAGAGATGATACGTGGCGTAAAAGCGGCGATGCTAAGAGCAACCAAGCAAGCAACCAAGCCAATTTATTTAATGATGACGCGTTTAGCAATAATAAGAGTGCCGGCAGGCTAGAGATATTTTTCCGCGTGTGGAACGCTCGCAAGTGCTACCACGTGTGCAACACGTGTGCATGATGCGCGTAGTACTCGGTCGTCGCTGTTACGTATACGTAAACTCATGGTTAAAGTGGCATGCACATCAAGGTGAGCAAATTGCTCTGGTGAAGAATCGCCATGAGAACAGCATTGTTGTACCGAGATACAAAAGGGGTAGCGGATCTTGGACGCCAGATATAAAAGGTCCAGCGGATCTTGGACGCGAATGTATAGCGCGAATAGAATAGAAAACTATAGAGAAAGAGAGAGACAGAAGCAAGTTGAGTTCGCCTTAAGGATTTTTATCAAAGGACGAAGGTGCGCGCGAAAGGACGAAAAAAGTATTTGCAAAGCACCAGGAGCCGCGAAGTGCAAGGTGATTTACCGGCGGTTTCAAGGCGAGCAAATTGCTCTTGCCGCGAGCTCGTACGAGTTTCTCGAAGACGCCGCGCCGTCGGATAATGATTCTTTCTTCCTTTTTCTGCGTGCGCTCGCAGACCTTGGCAATGAGATTGATCCGGTCTAGACGCTGTGTTATTAATTTGTACCGCAAGATTTATCGGCCAAGATGCACGGAGAATAGATATAATGGCATCGGGATTAATGATGCGACTCGCGCGGATAACGTACTTTTATTTCCACCTCTGCCAACCATCAATTATTTCGTACGTGTTCGCAAATGAATTGGCTAGATTGCGCGCCACCGACCGACCAACCGATTCCATACGTATGCTACGTAGGCGCGTCATCAGAAAACGTTGGGTTCGATTTCCAACCATGCAGATCTCTTAATCTTTTTCTTCCATACCGCGATGGAGCACGAATCTCTTAAATCTCACCATTCCTACGATGCTATTCTTTGCAACGTAATTTCTTTCTAACTTATTCGTCGTAGAGACGCGTTTAGAGGTAGATTTAACCGATACAATGTGTTGGCGAATAACGTTTCGCTATAGAGCGGCTAGTCACTAGTATGTCACCATAATTTACTTTACTACGTTTGATATAGAGCATTGATCTGGATAATTCCAGTAGCTAAATCATTTCTCCGCTCGTATACATGATATCATTAAAAATATAAATCTACCAAATGGTACAACGTCACCGCTACAAAATCACACCGACGTCGTAACATTAAAAAGACGTATGGACGTTAATTGTTATCATCATACCTAAACTGTAATTACGCCGAGCCACCGTTCATGTCAATCGTTGCCACTTCGATCCTATCAATAAACCAACTTAAAAACTCGATTACAAAAAATCGACTCTTTGACGGACGATTAACGCTGTACCGAGCGATATCGCGTCTCGCGTCTCGTAAATACTCTCGACGAGTAAAATCCAACGAGCAAATCGCACCGTGGCAACGATCAACGCGATAATACAGCGCCGATCGGTGCACAAGCATGCAACGTAGTATGGGTAAATGCACCGAGAGAGCAGAGGCTGCATTACGAGTTGACGCCTGATCTGGGCAACGTGCCGGGCACGACATTGCGCACGTGCTATGAATAGTTAGAGCCAAGTTAGCGTTGATTATCCCCGTGTTTGCGTGTGCAGTAGACCCGCTACACACTCCGAACCACGCTGCTGAAATTTTCTGATCAGACGCGGCCCATACGAACTCTAATATTAGAATCGAGCGCATACCGGCATTTCTGACGCTCTGTTCTTTGTTGCTGCCGCATCTGTGCCACGAACGGCACGATCGTGAGTTCGAACGGGGCAAAGGTCGATATTACATGGGAGTCAGTTGGCTAACGAGAGATCTCCTTCGAAACCGTCGAAAAAGCATCGAACGAGAAACAAGAGGAAAAGCTATAAAAGGAACCGATCGACCTTGTAAATACGGCGATTCGATGTAAACGTTATAGCACACTAAGGAAATGGTATAGTATCAAAAAGTTGTTTAACCTTCTCGCGTAATTTATCAGTTTCCATTTACAGATACGTTAATTTTAAAGCGTGGCCGGGACACGTTTTATTAAGCGAGAGCTGAAACTGGGAACGAGGACTTTCGTTGATATTATTTTCGAATCGGCCTGTAAAGAGATCAGATTAAAACAAGGTGCTTAAGTGGGTCTAATTAACGACCGTAAGAAGGTCGTAACAATTTATCAGTATAAGGCAGATTCACGTTACAGACTCGCGCAACCTGATATGATGAACAACAGATGGTTGCAATTGGATCTTAGATCGAGCGCACCATACTTTTAAAAGACCGATGATGTAACGTAAACGGAATCTGTAAATACGAGCTGTTGATGTAATTAAATGCACCGAATGTATCCGCGTAACGCTACAAAGTTCTCGGCTTCGCGTTCGATTTGCGATATTTCCGTACAATTGGTTTTATTGCGACTCGAACGTGCCAAACGATAAAACAACTTCACGGTTTTTGCGTTTCGTATTAACCGCGAAACTACTTAACCTGCGGATGTATTTTTGAAACGCAAATAAGCTTCGTTGATACTATCATTTTCAAAGACACTGTCTATTTTTAATATGTCCATTGTTGTCGAGGTCAAGTAATATACACAACGATGTATTAGTACACATTCTAATACAGTTAAGTTTGAAACAAAATAATTTTGGAAAAAGCGTTGTGATAAACTATTATAAATTTGTCTCGTATTTGTGATATTTACGTAAATCGCTCCTATAAAATTTTTATTATTCTAATACAACTTTTAGGCCTTAACGAAACAACATATAAATTGATTTATTTACATTTCTCAACAATGTTACGTTATTTTATTACTTAGTCCGTAACGATTGTAAAAATTGCCTAATCACGAAACAGGTCTAAAACTTCCAAATTCGGAGTCATTGCGTATCTTCGTTGCGTAACAAACTTTTAAAAATTCCTCGTGCCAATACATAATAAGAAAATTGGCTGGTAACAATGATCGAATATTCCTAAATTAGTGACAAAAACCATGATGTAGCCTTGTGCCAAATTATCGTGCTTCTATAGTCCATCCGAACATTCGTATACGTGAAATTAATGATCGTTGGAAAACTACGACGATTTATCAACTAAGGGGTGATTTATTCGAGGTTAGTTTAGTTCAATATGATGAACAACGGATCGGCACGATCGGATTCAGGTCAAGGAGAAATCTGATAGAGGGACTGCAATCACGGCGTGCCAAACGTTTGGCATCGTTCGCATTGATCACGCGACAACACCAAGGAACTATGTATGTACAATCGATACAAAAGAACTATGTATGTACATATATAGTAAGTAGATAGAACTTTTACCCCTATAGATTTTCCCATCTCAATTCTCATCGCAGAAGCACCGTCAAATAAATAAACGCAGTGCCAGAAATAGCACTAAATTAAAATAAGAGACCAATAAATAAATACGTATACCTATATATACAGGGTGGTTGGTAACTGGTGGTACAAGCGGAAAGGGGGTGATTCTACACGAAAAAAGAAGTCGAAAATATAGAATAAAAATTTTTTTTTTAATTTTTCCATCGAGACAACGATCAACGAAAACAAAGCCTCAAACGAAAAATTTTTATTCTATATTTTCGACTTCTTTTTTCG